GAAGCCAAGCCAGTTGAGTCAAAGATTATATGTATATTCCTACAATATAAAGGGACCGCAGTCCCATTTGTTGTACTGATTCCCAATGAAGCTGTGAGTGTGCATGCGGCAGCAAACTGCCTCACTGACTTCATGTCAGGCGTTATCACCAAACTCTTCCCATGCCCTCAAACCATCGCTCAAACCTGCGATACCTAGGTGGCGGCACGTCTTCGGCGTGTACGTAAAATGATCAGTCATCTTGCTGACTCTCGATGTGTGTCGACATGATTATGAGGAGAAGCGGGCAGGGCCCCACAGATGGTTTGGGGTCAAATTGGACTTCGTTTTTGAGGTTAGAAGCAACGGGGATATCGTATCATAAGGTCCTGGGTGAAGCGCCGAAAAAGTAATGACAAACACGTCAGGTTTTAGAGCGTGTTCTTTCGCAAGCGCGCGAATTTCAAACGCAAGACGCAAACAAACAAATGGCTTGTTTACAGTGCACAAACAATCAGATGACACCAAATTTGGTTTATGTGTGATCAGTATTACTCCAAACAACATCATGTAAAAAGTTTCAAAAACTTATGTGTCCTAACACCTGTTCCCGAATTTCTTGGTTTCTAGACCGACACCAAACCAACTGGGTTGGTTCGAAGCATAAATATCGGAGAGTTCACGTAAGTTCTGGACTTTTTTGATTTGGACGATTAGAACGCTCAAAAATCTATCATATAGCGAGGAGAGCGAATCAAACCATGCCTCTCCTCTTTTTGAGCCAAAAACAGTGTAAACCCATGCGCTGATAGATATCGCGCTCCAATCACATGCGGTGCCCTTTGAACTATGTGGCGAAAAATGCATCGCAAGCATGTTGAGGCCGCAAATTAAATTTGGTTGCCCTAAAAGATTTCAAACATTCTGAACACTGAAATGGTAACATAGTACCACCTCAATGAAAGAACCGTTATTCAACTCAGAATGTTTTTTTTATGCGTTATTATATTACATATCTCAAAATGCGCTTTTTTTCACTTTTTTATTGTTATGTTGATTGAACAAGGATTCCTCTACTGACTTTTACGCCAAAAGGGACTTCGTAAATCTTCGCGAAGTCATGGGCGAACTCGTTTCTAAAAATACCACAAACCAACGCGTGCCGGGCCCTGGAAGCGGGATGCTCACTGGCTGCGGCAGTCCACTCGTTTTCTAAAAGCATTTTGGGCAGCGCTTGATGGTCCTTCCATAGGCTTAGTGATCAGTCTGGTTCTCCTACTCTCACGTACTTCATGATGTACGAGCCTTTTCTTATCCAAAATCATAAATCCTCCCTCCAGCCAAGCTCAATGTTGCCACATATCTAGCCACGGTGATCTGTAGCTAAGTCTAGGCCGTGTTTACGTAAGGTCAGGATTACGTTAGATTGGATTAGTCACATACTTTAGGTTTTTCTAGCAGTCTAGTTCTTTTTTTATTAAGTGTTTAAGACCATAGAGCGTAGCTGTGAGGCATACGCTGCACCATATCTCAGGTTGCCGGCCTCAGGTTGCTGATTCGTTCGATTGTGATCTGATCTTTGTTTTTTCTTTTGCTGATTCTTTGCAGCCTTTCATTCTCTTGTTATTGTTCTCATATTTTTGTTATAGTCAGCTTCTCCGGTTTGTCAATTTTGATAAACCATCTTTGTTTCAAACGGTTGTGCTGGGTCAGTGGAACCTGCGGATCTGTCCGCCCGTTAATGATCTCCCTATCTGTCTGCACAATCTCCAATAACCATTTAACACTGAGATCAAAGAAAAGAGGTGCAGTGAGACATACCTGATGAAAGGAGTATTGGAACAATGGTGAAGAAAGTCCAAGAGGAAAGGTCAACCAGAAGCCAGTTTTAGGGATGGAAAAGAAGGATAGGCAAAGGCAAAGCACTTTGTACATAAGTGCCAGAGCAGGTAAACACGGCGCTCAAGGCGGTAGCAGAAGAGTAATAAAATAAGGAAAGGTTCAAACGATGTACACTTGGTTGATTAATGGTTGGTCAAAAACGAGTCCTATATCATTCCTCAGTACATTTGTCTTTTAGACTACCAGCCATTTGCTCTACTAACGAGGGTAAGATACTTGATGACCGTGACTTGCTGCAGTGAAATGTATAACAGCAGATGCGCCCTGAAATACTGATTCCAGATCAATGTTCAACATCTGTTGTGCAACCCTCTGAACGAAGTTATAGACTTTTCCATATTAATTTTACGAGAACTAGGTAATAAGAATCGTCAGATCCAAGCTTTTTAGACTCGGATTCATCGGAGACAGCTATCCTAAGCAACGTAAAGCTTTATTTAATTGAGACGCTCTTTTGTGGTGCGTAAATGACCATTGCAGCGATATTGGTGAATTTCTGCCATCAAAACTATGCAAATTTTGGTGACAAGAAATTTTTATAACTTCTTTTGGAAGAGCACACAGCAGATACTGAAAGCAGATTTGGAATCATTAGTTCAAGAAGCATGAAATGGCGCGTTTTATTTTGAAAGGCCACGGTCACTTAGTATCCTTCCCTTGTAAGTATGATCAAGAGCGTTTAGTGTAAGGTTCGGCATGATCCCGCAGTGATGAAAGCGACGGGAAGTCTAAGCGCTAACTTGGTATGTTGGCAGTCGTTATGTGATCTAAATTTTAGCAGCCTTAGCAATTTTAACAGCTAATTATCAAGAAATAAGCCAGTGGCGGTCCCAAGATTTCCGTCCGGGGGGGGGGCTACAGAAATTTTTGATGTGCTTTCCAAAATTTTTGCGGGCCCCTGACCACGAAGTTCAACACATTGGCGACCAAAGCCTTTCTCGGACCAGCCAACATTCTTCAGATAAAATCACGCACAATTCCATCTACAGTACACCTACAGTAGTGCTGCAAGCTGGCAAAAACAGTAGAGATTGTATCTAGATCCAGCATAAAAGAAAACTCCCAGAGTTGGTTTGACACAAATTAGTAGCCATTCCAATAAGAGTCATGTGTGTCAAGCGGTCGTCAATGTGTTAAAAAAAAGGCGTCGCGACAACCCACGCCCCAGAAATTTTTTTTACAAGGCTAATTTGAATTTTTTACAATTTCAAAAATTATTTTAATTATTTGCAAGTATAAACAAGTCACTTGCACATTTTTATAACCCTTACAAGTAACTTTCGAAAATTTCGCGATTAGTTCTCGGGGGGAAGGGGGCCTTGGATTGCCACTGGTGTAAGCATCTTATCAAACAGATAGCATCATAAGTTCCGATATACGAACTAACCGTTGTATCGTTCTCCGAGCTGCGGGGAAGTGATTGAAGAAACAGCAACAATATTCTCATGAAGCAGGTTATCAGTAGTTTCGCAGACCCGACGACATTTTGTTTACCATTTCACTGCTTCAATTTATGAGTAAATAATGAGACATAGCGAGCTTAGTGTGTATGAGAAATCCCCTTTTTCTTCTCTTTTTATTCTTTGTTTCTCTTGTTAGTTTATTGTTTTTCTCATATCCTTATGTCACAGTCTTTTGGACACAGCGCAGAATCACAGTCCCTTACGCTTATAGCATAATATTCTCAACATCTTATTCATAGAAATTTGCATTCACAGTAGTTGCAACCGCCTTTGCCTGTTTTATTTGAATTCACAGTATTTTCAACTCCTTCTGACTGCTTCATTCACAGCCACAGTATCTCAAATCTTTTTGTTTGCTAGAATCACATCATATTTTGCATCTTTCATGGCCAACTTGGTTGCACGCTCTGTAGTTGCTCTAGAATTAGCTTTTAGATTTATTTGTTAGTTAATCATCGTTACTGCATTATTGTTCATTAGCTGTTAGTAAGTTCAATTACCCAAGTTTGAGATTGCTCAACCGTGCGTGTGTGCTTATAAGTCCTTTCGAGCTCACAGTCACCGAAATCCAATTTATTCGAGATGCCATGATTAGAGGAAAGGACACTCAAGGAGATGTGTTAGAGAAACAGGGCTCGGCACGAGGTGGCTAGATGAAAATGCAAAAAACGAAGTCCCTCTTGACTTTTGGGTATTTTTACGAAGTCCCCTTTGACCCCCCACCATATTCCCTAAAAATCCTCCAAAAAACGAAACGTCGACTAAAAAAAAACGTCGCCAAATCGCCAATTTTGCGTGTGTCTTCGGTCACAAAAACGAAACCCCCTTTGCTTTTCGTCCCAAAAACGATATCCAGCTTGCTTGTAAGCCACCTCGTGCCGAGCCCTGTAGAGAAATACCTATATTTCACAAGTACAAAACGCACAATTTGTACAGACTCCAAGAGCCTGAACACACCACAAAATTTCGCGACAATGCCCTCTACTCTGCTGCTCCTTACTCGAAAAAATGTGTGAGAGAGCGATCATTCCGCAAGATACATGCGGCCGAGCAGCTTGCTTGAAAAAACAAATGGAGCAGGTGCATCTCTCTGCACTAGTGAATTTAGGGTAGTTTCATTAAGCTTTAAAGTATCTATATGCTTTCAATAATTCCTTATATATTATACTATCCATCAATGGATAGGTATACAACCGTTTAGGATTTTTCAACAAAATGTTACATAAATTGATATCGTATAACGGGAAAACACACAAAGTTTCCATAAGTTCCATTGTGCTCCAAAACAGTTTTTGATGTTTTACTGTGTCTCGGCGGCCATTTCTAGCCTTGTTCGGTGATCTACTTACAGCTGAGGTGTTTGCTCATTCTAATTAGATGACAGGTGGAACTTTATGTACGAAAAAAGGCAGAGCGCGCAACCCTTACCCGTGCACATTCGATGTTTTCTTCATGGTTCGACTTTTCTGTCGTCTGTTTCAATAATACATTCCATACTCCGACGAAAGCGATGAAGCCCTTTGGCATCCTTGAACAAAAGTTGATAGCTAGGTTACTGCTTTGAAAAAGGCACAGCAAAAAAGTACTCAAGTTTTTTCAAGGAAATATATGCGGATGAGGATTCGCTTGTATCTCTCGGAACACAGCTATGAATTTGATAATATATCTTTTTTCTCCCACAACAAAGTTTAGGATAAATGTGCGCAAAACCTTATCTTCCATTTTGCACTGGCCAAGGAGATGCTCATAACTACAACGTATCAGTGAAATTACACACTAAGCACACCATACATATACGCAAATGCACCAATGATCACGAATTCCTTAAATGTTACATCGTAAAGGGAGTTCTGAGATAATTGTAGAGATTCTTGGCACGGATCGGACCAAGCCCAGGACATAGTGCCAGCTGCTCTTCACTAGCTTCTGCGATTGCTTTGAGTGTACCGAAGTTGTACAGTAGTCTAAAATCAAGGTACAATAGTCAACTGATGATGGCAATTTGAATATTACTATGGAATGCAAAAAATAATAATGCTTAGTGGATCTTGTAAAGACAGAAATTTATGTTTGAGGTAGCCGTCAAACACAACGCGCAAATGGCAAAAAGTTCAAAAAAAAAATGCAAAAAGTTGCAAAAAACCTGTGAGCTCACGCTAAACTCATCGTAAAAAGTAGAGCCCAACCCAGGTCCTTCTTTATCCACCTTTCTAATTTATCACTTGTCACTTCCGACATTATTTCATACCTCTGCGCATCCGATTTCGTCACGCTTCTGGCTCCAGTTAGAATTCCAATAGCCGCGTTTTGCATTGATGTTCGTTCATCAACAGGCACTGACACTGGCTTCCTAAAAAAATTCTACAGATTTACGCAACCTAAGAGAGGCCTTGATACTAACTTGAAAGTTGGATCCCTATTGTCCGCTAGCTTCAAATTTTCAATGTATTCAGCAGCTTCTTCAACCTGCAAAAAAGTAGACAATGAACAAAGGAGGGTTGAGCACAAGCTGCTAAAAAGTTTGAAAAAGGAAATGCAAGAAAAGTTACAAAGAAGACACAGGATAGATAAAGGTACATTCGTTTTGGCTTACCGAGTAGCAAAGAACTAACGTCCAGTCCATACGATAACAAAGCAAGTTTAGTTCCCGTAGTGTATGTCTTGGTTCATCAACATTGCAAAGGGCTAAAAGTATCTGAAAGCAAAAAATTTTGGGTTACAATTATTTCTGGCATATAGGACTAACAGCGTGCAAATTAGAATTCAAAAATGCTGCGTACATACCTTGCAGGCATACTTGTTTTCCTCTTTTCCAGAAAGACGTGTGAGAATGTAGTTCGGATGAAGTTTGTGGTACTGAAAATTGTCCTATCTTTACGTCAATAGTAAATTCTACACATAGGCCAGTTCCAAAAACTGCAGCCGGGCTATACTGTGACGCCTTTAGGTTCTAAAAGTCCGTCTTTGACCCTACAAACATGAAATTTTGGCCATGACTTGGTAGCCTATGAAACTATGTAGAGCTCGTCTTCTAGTATAAAATCAAAATTAGAATCGAGAGCCTAAATCAATTCTTCTCCTGATCCAGGGGTCGGCACGAGGTGGCACCAGGGAATTTCAAAGCGAAGTCCCCTTTGATCCTAAACCCTAAACGTTAAAAACCCTCAAAGAGCGAAACATCGATTTGAAAAAAGTCGCGATTTTTTTCTTTTCGGTCACAAAAACGATATCCCCTATGCTTTTTGTCCCAAAAACGATATCCAGCTTGCCCAGTGCCAGCTGGTGCCAGGCCCTGCCCTAATCCCAAAATTTAAGCCTGAAGTTGCAAGAAAAATTACAGAAAATTTCAATTTCCTTCATGCGGCCACGCTTTTCGAAAAAAAATTGTCGTGCCCTCCCCCCTTCCCTCCCGCGCTTCATCAAACGATAAACTTTTGCGATTATTGGTATTTCCATATGTGAATTAGATATTACCTTCAATGCCAAATACAGTACTCCACATGTTGGCCCACATTCGAAATCGGTTCCTATTTCACCCCATTCGTAACGAACATTTCTCACGTACTTCAGTACCGGATTACCTTCTTGGCGTCGTCGGTTGACCACCAAACGTGAACCGGCTAGAACCAAAACCATTTTTGTTCAAAATAATTTACAAAAACAAATAACCAAAACAAATACTTTGTACATTTGCGTTGGATTTTATGTTAGTCAATCAAAGGTGGCCAAAATTATCATAAATCCAAAGTAAAGCTAATCCCCAAAATTTCTAAAACCCCTCCTACCCTGTCGTCCAATACACTTTTGAGCGTGACCTCGCTCTCCCATAGATACGGCGTCATTCTTGACGAAAAACAAGCTAATCTTGGGCGAACGAAACGAAAGAACGACATATGAGCTTTCTCAAGCATGCTGAATGGCTCCTAGGTAAACATAAACGGAAGTGCACCAGAGATGGCTGTTTTTCTACACTTGGCGATGCTAACAAAAACGAACTACCTCTAGACGCAACCCCTTATGAGGAAATTCTCCTTCAAGTAAAGTCATGTAAATAAAGAACATGGGGATAAGGATATACTCACAATCTTCAGAATGCCCAAGCTAATCCATGGAAAAAATATAAGAAGAACCCTGTAAAGTCAATTAATCCAGGCAATTGCAAATGGAGAGAAAACTCGTACGAAAAGTTTTACGCTGGCAGCTTTATATCTACGATTGATGGCACAATTCAATTGAACGCAGCCAAAATTGTTGCCACAACAAATCTCTCGGTCCAAACCATAACTTTTAGGTAATCGAATTTGGGATCTATTTGCTATTTTAAGAGTGCATTAGATATTTCAAGTTATGAAGAATCACAGAATAGTCTGGGCTAATAAGCATAAACAGTGTTTCAGAAAATAAAAAGAGAACAAATTTATATTCTCCACGATCCACACTCGTCGTAATGTTCACTTTTTGCAACATCAGAAAATTTCATTTTCCAAGATTTGCTGGAAAAAGTTGAGAATCTTTTCAAAGACTGATAATTTGCCCAAACTGTCATTGCAGTATGCAGTTAATGGATATTAGACGCTATGCGCCAAAACTCGACAACGAGCAAGAAACCAAAACTCGAACGACCACAGTAAATAGATCCAACTGACCCAACTGACTAAGCCAAACTCAAAAACAAAGGCTAAAATTCGTGAAAAGGAACATACCCTTTGATTCAGGCTTGGTGGCTGAAAGGCGGGGTTTCGTGACCTAATTAAGGCTAGATAGTGAGGGAAAGGACTACTCTAAAATGTACGTAGATCCACCTATAGCTTGGATTTATACTCTTAGATTATGTGGTTCAAAGAGAAAGGTGACTGCACACTAATCGATAAGGTAGGCCTCAGATTGGCGATTAGAGAGCACGGGCGCGACAGAGACGCAGACCGCGTCGCGGGCGCGAGCGGCCTTGATTAGGTCACAAACCCCGCCTTTCAGCCGCCAAGCCAGTTGAATCAAAGGGTCGACTTTTGACAGAGTGAGAATGTGTGAATGGTTCTGAATCGTGCAGGTTCAACGGGAAAGCTGTCAATAATTCAACCAATTTTAGTTTATTATGATTCCAAAATTTCTTCGTAAATTCATGATAATTATTCTTCAATTTAGAGCAATCTCAGCAGTTCGCATCGCTTCTTTGTCCGACCCCTCCCATCACAGGTTCTGCTCCCTCATGCGCAATGCACTCACCGCTTGACTCGGATTCGGCGACGTCGCCGTCGTTGTCGACATCAACAACGCATGTTTTGCCTCCCATTTTCGCATCATTTAACACTTTCGCATGTCAAAAATATCCACACAGCAAGTACACCTACAAGGAATTCCAACCCTTCTCAAATATCAATGACATGTCTACAAATTGTTCACAAAAAGGGGATTGTTAGATTCCGCGAGACATCATTTTCCACAAACTCTTTACTGGAGGTGCCAAATGATCGAATAAAGAGATTATTATAAGAATTATCGTTTCCATCAGAAATTATATCTGCATACTCTACTTCTATTAGTTTAGCCTATCACATGAAGAACAGCAGAGTAGCAAACGTGGAATTACTCATCGACTCAGCATAAAAGCATAAATATAGCAAGATTAGAAATGCATGGCAAACAAATGCATTGGAAAATTTTCCGTACAAAAAGAAGAAAGACAGCTGATTATCTTGATTGCCAGGAACGGAAAAGCCGCATTCACAGAGCAAACGTTTGGGCAAAAATAGAAAACTTTCGCTTCTCTATCTCAAACTAAGAAATATCTTCGGCTCACAAGCATAAGCAGCTTTTCGTCCCCCTGTTTATTCCGTCAACTATAAATTATTGATTTTGCCTTTAAAAATAAATTATGAAGGCTATCTACTGGTGTGGAAGACAGCTAACTTTGTTTTCGAATTATGTCGCGATAAATTATTTGCTTCAGAAGCAAAATATTAGCTAACACCAACAGACTAAATGATGGCAGCTCGTTGTGAGCATTTTCAAAGATAACACAAGCATGAATGAAATACCAAACTAAATCACACTGATACAGATTAAGCAAGTAATTAAGTCATAATAAAACACATATCTTGGACGAAAATTGAGACAAAGGCAATTTACGTAAAGTTAAAAACAAAAACAATCTAGAGAGAGTTGAAAAAGCAATAATTTACTGGAACTCCCAGTAACATGAGAAGAGTCAATAAATTGATTTTCCCATGACGTGATGAACTCCTCACCCAATTCTTTGAAGCAGACTGCAAAATGAAATTTTTCTGCGTCACTCATTTCTCCTATGCTTAACCCAAAAATAGCGCGTTGCTGACGGCTCAATTATAGGTGCCTTCAAGCTACTTGCCCATCCAGAATGACTTATCTCTGCTGCATTCTAAGAGGATTTAGTGCAGCCTGCACCACAAGCAGAAGCGACTATCGACTTTTATGAAAGCAGCAAGTGCAGGAAGATTTTTTTGCGCAAGTAAACATTTTTCACAGCTTCTACGATATTTATTTCAAAAGATCCTTAAGCGATGCCATAGTAAAGCAATTTTCGCCGCATCAAAACTACAAGGTTTTCCTATAGTTGGATATTTATTTGCATTTTTCGAGGATTATGCGTGAAAATGGAGAAAAGGAGAATATAGAAGTAGTTAGAAGCAGTAGCTTGGCACCTCTTATGTTTTGATAGTGTCAGGTAGTAGACCCCCCCCCCCCTCACCCCCGAATACGTCGTAGAATCGCACCCTCCAAGTCATGCTCTCAGTCCTAAAAAGGCGCTTCGAAACTCCACCAGCCTCGCCCACTTCCATTAAGTGGGTGTATTTGTCTTTCTCGTTCTCTTTTATTGGAACTTTATTTTTATAAGCTCGCTTGCAGTTGTTCCATATGGCATGCCTATTTGTTTACTCAAAAAAAGAAGAAAATTCTGTTAAGTCCCTTTCCTGCTAAATCAAAAAAAAAATTTCCTTCTGGAACTGCCACTACTCCTTGGCACTGAGATTATACAGGGTGTCCCAAAAAAATGTGCCTACTGTTTGATTGTAAATAACTCTCTTGTAATGAAGGTTTCGAGAAGGTTCAGGTACCATTTTGTAGAGCGTGGTTAAACTTAGATTTACAGTATGGAGCGAATCATCTACCGCCCTTCACTGCTGTAGGAATACGGTACAAACTTCGACAAGGATTTTGGGCCTGAAGGCTATATTTTCTCGGATAACCGTAACAACTGAATTCTCAGTACTTGTCAGAAATTTGATTACACCGTCAGAAAAGCTGAAAACACTCGTAAAAAGTTGTTAGGTGGAATCAGCATGCGCGAAAACCCTAGTACACGATTTTCCAGATTTTTTCAAAAAAATTTTGTTAGGCAGTATATTTCACAATATTTTCATATGCTGGAAGTTCTTACCGTAATCTTACAATAACGAAAAGTGACCGATGATTCGCTCCATACTGTAAATCTAAGTTTGACCTCGCTCTACAAAATAATACCTAAAGCGTCTCGAAACACTTCATTGCAAGAGAGTTATTTACAATCAAACAGTAGGCACATTTTTTTGGGACACCCTGTATATATGAGTATTGCTTTTACTTCAGCTCTTATTTCTTCGCTGCACCAGCAAATCCTATACTGAATACAAACGCACGTCTTCAAACTACTTTCACCTATCCTACGTAAGAAAGTACAAATCAAACTAGCAGATAAAAAAATGCTTTGACGTAAAAATCCACCACAAACTAGTTCAGCGAGAAAAAAGTTTTGACGTAGAATCCTCTGCAAAGCAGACAATCAGCCTGTCATCATTTGATTACTGTAGCTTGGCTCGATGCAGACGTATTGCTCTTGTGCTTGTAGTTTTTCCTACATTTTTTTGGTCTAAAAGCAACATTCTTTTTGTTATAATTTGCTGTTCTCATTGTTTCCCAGTGAATCAGTTGTTTTATGTGGGAGTCATGCGCTTTCTCAAGAATCCAAACAAACCAGATGTTGTTTGAAGAAACTATATAGGATGCGGATGTCCATCCGAGCAATTCTTCCTCACTGCGGTCTGCGAATTGTGATTTTATAGTCCACCATTTTTTACCAAAAAAAAATTTCAATCTCTCCTTTCTCGTCCCCCTATTAGACATGTAAAAAACTCGGTTTAATATGAGATCAACTTCAATTCGTGAAACTTGGAATATTTTGGAATCATTTTCTAGTAAATATGAAATCACTTTTAGCTGCTTTTGAGACTATGTGAGTTAGTTTCACGGATAACAACAAATTCAATCACAATCAAATTATTAGCTATCCCCCATTTCCATATTTCACTGCTTGAATCTGTCTGTGAGAAATCAACATATGCAATTACATAGAAATGAAGAATATTAATCTTGACTGTTTTGCCAGCAATGAAAACATTTGTCAATTCCGTGTCACAATAGACAAAACAAATCAAACGCGCTGGCATATGACATACGGCAAAAGGCAACGATTTCACAAAATTCGTTGTTTTTACAATAAATGAAAATATGTCATTTCTTAATTAGATTTTCTTTTGATGAGCTTCAAAACAAAAAAGAGTTGCTCCAGTACAGAAATGAGTGCTAACTGCGTTGTCTTCCAAAAATG